ATCGGGGCCAATAAATCGGCTGGCCAATTTATCGGTGCACCCCATTTTATGTATATACAGCACCTTTTATATTGGTGAGTTATTTTGATGGAATGGCCAATGTCCCATATTTAACTTTATCGCTAATATCGGTCTATACCGATACCATACCGATAATATCGTCCATCCCTCTTTAGTAGATAAACCATGAGTGAGATAGATAATTGTCATGAAGACGTGTGGAGTTCACTGTGTGTGTCACGAGGATCCACCCCCTAGAAAAGTATATTGGGCAGCGTCCAGGTGTGATGAAGCTAAATACTTTTGGCGGCAGGAAGCTCGTTAGCCCGTCCAAACACCTCCCACAAAATAACCATAAATTAGCTGCAGCATTATATAAGCTGCGGGGCTCAAAGTCTGTGAAAAAGGTAGCGGCTTATAGACCGGAAAGTACGGTAACTACAAGTGAAGATATTCTGGACACGTTAAAGAATCCCTGTCTGTCCATGTTGTGTCCAGTTTAAGGTGCAAATCTAATCTAGTTTCATACGATTCAATTTAATCCTGTTAATTCCAGTTAGATCCTATAAAGTATTGCAAACAACTGCACGATGTTTTGAGTGCATAAATTATACAAAATCAAGTATTGTAAACTAACGTGGCCTTCCAAAAACCATTAAATGTGTCATTCTCACCTCCTTCAGTTTTTCAGTAAGAACTTTGATTTCTTCTTCGTATTTGTCCTCCTTTTGCGAGTACTGAAATAGAAAAATATGTTTCAATGAAACTGCAGGGAAGTCCCTTTTAACTTCAACAGGGAGACAAACATTACAAAGGATGCAGAGGGTAAAGCCACTCGTTGTGTTTCTTTGGGAAAAGGATGAAAGGTAAATAGTAATGTCTAAGTTGAGTGAATAAATAAAGAGTTAGGCAATGAGATTTTAAGATAGCTATCATTTCAACCTTCATATTTTATTATCAAAACAGTTTTTGTCCTATCCTTTTTACAAGAGGACAGTTATCAGTGTCTTCTTCCAGACAAACATTACATGAAACAAAAATAGATTCAGATGGAAACAGTCTGTCAGTAAGGTCTCAAGTGTTCTGTGTGTTTAATAATTGTAGTTTCATGGACTACAGTCTGTTAGTAATTCACAGTCGGACCGGCCCCGAGCTGAGTCCCTCTCAGCCCTCACTGTACCTTCTCAGCCTGGGCTTCCAGAGACTTCAAGTTGTTGGTGACATTTTTCAGCTCTTCCTCAAGGTCAGCTGATTTACTGAGCAACGTAGGAAAGAAGAGAAGCAAAAGAAGAGAAAGCAGTAATTTGAAAGGTAGAAGAGATTAAAACTGTTTTGTGCCGTGTCCAAAGACAGAATGAGCTCACCTGGCTCTGAGGATCTGAGAATTTTAGTTTTAACGCTTTTAAAAGCGTTAAAACTAACGTAGGGCTTTTTAAAATTTACTTTTGTTAAATGTGAAATATTCATGTATTTCATATTGAGATGTGGTCTTTTCATGAAAACGCACATAAAAGAACATTAAAACTGTCCTCCTTTGCACATACAATGTAAGGGAGGAGAAATGTGTGCAGGTTAAACAGGAACCGCAGGCAGAAGCTGAGAGGCTGCAGGCCAGAGGAGAACGAAGCAGGGCGTTATAAAAACTGTACCTCTTCCTCGCCGCACACCATCGACTTTAAATTCTGGTCCATTAGCCTGAGCTCCTCCTCGAGCTCCCTCACTCGCCTGAAGCAGTTAGTCCGGGATGATGGTGCAGGGTTGGGGTGACGGGGGTGGGGAGAGAGGGGGGTAAGTTGGCCCAAATGGGCAACGGTGGTGCACACATGCGTTAATGATGCATTTCAGAAACCCCACAGCAAAACACATTCAAGTCTACGTGCCTGGTGTGTCTGGTGTGCATCGCACATCGTATCACTACATGAGGCTTAAAGGGGTGGTTCAGCCATTTTTAAATGTTTTTCTGTGTAAAAGTTATGAGTTAATGTCTGACAGGACAGATGAGCTAACGTCAAGTCTGAACAGAGGTGTGTCTGCCTCGACAGGCCATTATTAGCTCAGCAGTGTGGTCTGAGCTTCCACGTTCAAAGCAGATCAATGCCATCTTAAAACTACTTGAACCTCAGATAATCCACAATCCACATTCGTTTTTTGGCAAATATATAAAATGCAAAAGTCGCAGCTGAGCTGCTGAGCCCCTCTCATCTGGCTGCTGCTGCCGCTATCTGCACTTTCAAATAACCACTGAATTCTGCGAAGGAAAAGAAAAATGTACTAAGAGATAAGAAATATAAAAGTTCTGTTAAATAGTTTTTGTGTGAACCGAAATACATTTTCAAGACTGAAGCCATTTTAGGACAGCAATTTGCTTTTTGTCTTAGTCGTTAACTCATCGGTCCAAAATCTTTTTCTCCACACTGAGCCTGTTCAATCTACAATGCTGATATTCTAATTGTTTCAAACCTTTACACACAAAAAAAAAAAAAAACATTTGTGTGGCTGAAATATTCCCTTTAAGTACAAAGCTGAAACAGGTTACTTACTGAAAAGTAAAACAATTTCCAACATTGTAATTTAAAACGCAAAAATGCTGAATGCAGATATCTATTCATTTAAACCAAAATTAAATGAATACAATAAATTAAACTGCAACTAACGAGTATTACTTACATGCATTACTGTATGTTAATTATTCTTGTTAAAAATGGCATTTCAAGTAGCACTGTGTAGGATGTGGGCACATCCAGTGGCAGATGGCAACTTACAAAATACATAATATTGCATTAATAATATAAATGTGTTATAAAAACAGGCTGACATCTGTAACAAAGCAAACAGCTCTGGCAGCGGCGTTAATGCTGCCAACACCAGTCAAGGTGCATCACATGCAGCACGGCCAAAAGGCACCACAAACACTACACACCACTGCAGAACCTCCACTTCTGTTGCTGAGGGAACATATTCACCATCAGCTAAGCTAAAGTTCACATGCTGTCGTAGTAGTGATTGTATTTTCTTTTCTAGGACAACATAAATACTAATAAATAAATATTTTGTTTGGTGTGAACGTCTTAATACAGGGGTTGACTTACGCCTCAGCCACCTCAGCTCGTTCCTCTGAGCGCTCCAGATCTCCCTCCAGGATCACCAGTTTACGTGCAACCTGCAGACATTCACACACTGATTAACTTTTGGAGCCATTTTGGTTCAAAATGGCTGCCACAGCTACCTCAGAAAACTCTAAATTGACTATAAATCAGTAATTTTTTTTTTGAGATATTGAGCTGAAATTTGGTGTGGTCGTAGCTTAAAGCAAGTTGTGGTACACTCCTAATGCAAATTCAAAATCCAAGATGGCCTCCTTAGCTAAAAGGGAAGATATTGAGCAGAAATTTGGTGTGATGGTAGCCAAGAGCCAACCCCAGCACACAGTACTGTCAAATCAAAATTTTATAATGGCTGCAACGTGGCAGTCCCTGTTTCTGCAGGAACTTTCTAGTCCGACTCTGTACTACATTATGTGGAAAATGTTGCATTGTTATTTGTTACAATAAAATAATAATCAGAGTGCAAGCACTAAATATTGGTACATTACATTAATGAAAAAAAGGCTCTAAGCAGATGTCTGTGCCACTTGTGATGCTATTGGCTGTTAGCTGAACATGTTTTCTTTCAGCCGCTCCCTTATGCAAGGGTTGCCACACTCGCATGAAAGATTCAACAGTTGTCTTACGCTGGATACCCTAATACTGGTACAACCTGGGCTCAAACCTTCTGCCTCAAAATTACAAGACGGCAGCACTGACCACCGAGCTACCACGGCCCCGTCGGACTGAACACATAAATGAGGGAAATTTGAAACTCCCAACCAGACAGTTTTTGTGTACGAACAGAGGAAGCCCTTCAGAAGAGCAGGAATTCAATTCAATTCAATTCAAATTCAAAAATAATTTATTAATCCCAGAGGGAAATTAAATGTTGTTGTAACTCGGAAAACTAACTAACTAACTAACTAACTAACTAACTAACTAGGAAACATCTTAAATAAAAATAAATGAATTAAATTAAAACACCAGCTTCCCTCTATTCACACATTAAGAACATGCATTAAATGCCCTGTTCAGAAGTAAATCTAATAATAAAAATAAGATAAAAAAAACATGAATTTCTTTGTTTTCAAAATAATATCCACCCAAAACTGTTATGGACTAAAACATATTTGATATAACTAAAAAAAAATGCTGGTGCTCATCATCTGAACTGAGAAATCCCAGCCCTGATGAGTCACAGTGAACACTGAACTCTGCAGAGGCTGGGTGTGCAGCACAAGTGCTCAGTCTGGATCTAAACACAGTGACCCCCCACCTCTTCATATTTACGATCAGCCTCCTCAGCGATGTGCTTGGCCTCCTTCAGCTGCATCTCCTGGATCTCCATCTTCTCCTCATCCTTTGTTGCCCTGTTCTCTATGACCTTCATTCCTCTGAAAGACAGAGCAGAATATAAACCCAGTCAGTACTTCATTCACTGCCTGCACATGTGATTAACTGGAACTGTTCCACGTCCTTTCAGGAAAGTCTGAGCACAATGCCTTTTACCTCTCGCTCTCATCAGCAGCTTTCTCAGCTTCCTCTAGCTTCTGCAGAGCCGTAGCTAGCCTCTCTTGAGCTCGATCCAATTCCTCCTCCACCAGCTGGATGCGCCTGTTTAGAGATGCTACCTCTGCCTCGGCCTGCAGAGACACACACAGGGTTTATTAACGGGTCAAGACTGGTACTCTACATGCTGAAAGGCTTAAAACTCTTGTTCCATATTTCCATATTCATGTCTGTGTCCTCGTCTAAGATTATATACTCATCCTTGAGTGTGCGTGTGTGTGCAAGAATATTAAAAACCATCCATCCATTATCTTTTATCCGCTTCTTCCATTTTGGGTCACAGGGGTCGCCGGTGCCCATGTCCAGCAGTCACTGTGCGAGGGGTGGGGTACACCCTGGACAGGTCGCAAGTCCACCACAGGGACACAGCTCACAATCATCTCCCACAAATAGACAGTATGGGTATATTATACATTTCTTGAATCCTTAGAGTCCTGTGAATATTGCACTTGCTGACTCTTGTGTCCCTGCTGCCACAGGGCTAAAAGAAAGTTAATTTAGGTGTATATTGTATTATTTGTTGTTTAAAGAGCTCTAATGACCTCTGTGTTGGTCAGGGAAACACTAAACTGGGCTTAAATGAAAGCCAAGAGGGTTCCTTTTAAGAAGATGAAACATTTGACCAGCAATGTCTATACCATGAGTCTAAACCAGTGTTAAAAAAATAATAATGTTATATTCATGAGCTGATTACTGCGACTAAGCTACCACTTTGGAAGGGCTATCATACCAAAATGTCATCTACAGACATGCAGCTTTTCAAAATTATGATTAAGTTTTGCCACTCTGAGAAGGACTATGAAACATCTGTATTGTGTTGGCTCGCCTGCTTCTTTTCTTGTCAGTGGGTCCGCTCCTTTTTCTATCACCACCTCAAGAAGTAGAGCAGCAAAGAACGTCAGGTTTCAACGCCAGCGTCAGAAGTTACCACAAAACAGAGCCGACATGTCAGATGTGTTTATGTTTATTGTATAATAATGACATTGTTAAACTTTATGAGGACATATATTCACAACAACCTTCGTATGTATGTATCTGTCTATCTGTCTAAGTTAGTGAACATTTTTCGCTGGCTCGGAAATGGCACTACGTTAAATTGCGCCGGCGTTTAAATGGAGCGTACCGGTTAATACGTTTTAGACCAGGAAACGTCAGTGTGAAAGTTGCGTTAAACGCGTGCGCTAAATATATTGTTTTAACAATTATATGTCCAACATCGTTAAACAAAACAACTAAGCAGCGATTTTTTTTAACTGTTATTTTTATAGTCAGAGTCTAACTGTTCGGGATGAACAGCGCCTCTCAGAGTCCCAGTTGGTCCCAGCAGGTCCCACTTCCGGGCGGTAAAGTTTGTTACCCTCTGCCTGTCCTGCCTCTCCATGTCGGCCTCCGCCTGCAGGAACCCCAGCCGGTCCTCCGCTTCGTAGGCCACCTGCTGCAGGCTCTGAATTTTCTTCCGCACCGCGTCCACAGATGCGTACATCGCCATTTTTGTGAAGGTGTTTTAGCACCGAGCTACGCGCAGGCGTCGCGGCGTTTCCGTGGCAACTGATTCAATGGACTTCCGGATAATATTTCAAAATAAAGTTCAGGCAAAAAAAAAAATAATAATAATAATCAAGAAGTCTTGCTTAAAATATATAATATTTGACAATTTTACCACATAAATAACTAATCAGAAACATTATAAACATATACAAAATTAATAAACGTTACTAAATTATTAAAACTTTTTATGCTACGTTAGTTTTCAACTTTTATAGAATAACTCGATAATGGATTGTGTTTCATAACTACTTTAATCAGGTCAGAAAATTGACACTTTAAGGGAGAACTTCAAATTTAAATTTTATATTTCTTATATATTTTTCATTGTTTTAAAGGTTAACATTGCAGTATACAGTAGATACATCTGTAAATCCCCTCCAGTATTTCTTTGAGTGGTAAGCAATCCAGTTGTTTTTTATAGTAAAAAAAAAAAATCCCTTCCACTCAAAGACTCCAGATTTCATGTATTCTATTTTTTCCTAATGATTACAATCATCTTGTGACATCACAATGCGCTTTATAGTTTGTGTTAAATAAAACTCAGCCAATTAAACAATGGATTTATACAATTTTCAATGATGTATCAGCGTAAGAGAAAACAAGAATCACTGCATTAATCTCAGTTAAACAGGTGTTCTCAAATGTTTTCAGTTGTTATTGAAGAATAGGATAAAAATGCATTTAGCATAAGCAAAAAACCAATAAATAAATAAAGTATAACGGTGCATGGCTCTCTTTTAGGTGAAGTGACGGAGGTCTTTGTCCAGTGGTTCAGACTCATTGTTTTGAAGGAAAGTTTCTTGTAAGAAATGTTCCTCACAAGCACATTTTAGGATTACAGCCATAATCCTTAAACTGGATTGATGAAGTTTCATGGTTCTTGTTTGGAAACAGCTTTCAGGAACACATCTGTGTGCAAGTCTTGAACAGTAACAGTAACATGTTCCAAAGATCACGATTGGTTGTGAGACACAAGAAACTTCCACTTGTGGTATGAAACACTGGTTATTGCTCAGTTTCTATGCTTCCAACCAATGTCTTAATACACATTTTTACTTACATCCGTTGCTTTTTTCTCTGCTTGCTCCAGCTTCTCCTGGGCATCCTTCAGGGACTCTGAGTATTTGTCCAGCTCATCTTCCACTCCTTTGAGTTTCTTCTGCAGGCCCAGCAGCTCCTCCTCCAGCTGCAGGCCACAGACACAAGCAATGAGACAAAGCATGTCAGAGAGATATAAAAGGTGACATGTTTAACTTTCTACCAAAAAGGGTGAGTTTAATATTCTTACAAAAACACAACTAACTAATTCTAACAACGTCAGACAGGGTTGGTGGTTTTTTCATCACTTAGATCACTTTTAAACACCTGCCTGCTCATTATAGGTGAAATGATCAATTTCTATGATTTATAGAAGCCATTTATACATGAAAGTTTTATTATTTAATTTATATCGCTTTCATTCCAGTTTGGTCTTTATCTATTTATTGGCAATTCACCTAAGAGAAAAAACAAACAGTTCTAATTTAGGTCCAGTTCAGTGTATTTTATAGAGGAACCTGCATGGAAGAGACATCCAGCAAAACCACAACCAGCACAGAGACACAGACAACACAAGTTAGTGGCTACAAACAGCAGTCAGTTGAATCTGTCATTATTAAGAGTAAAAACGATGTCTATATAGCGTTTTACACAGTGTCCGGTGACATGATGTCTGCCTTAATAAGACCATTTTTTACTCGCCATTCATTCCACAGACAAAAACCTGGAAGAAACGGATGTGCAAATTGTGGTTTAGGGTTTGGTTTGGACTTTACTAGAAAAGGACAAACTTTCAGGCTGAGATCTGTCAGAGTGGATCAACAGAGAGCAAGAAGAAGAAGCAGGTGGTTGAGATCATGGCTAGATGCTGACAGATGTCTGACATTTGTCCATTGCTGCGGGCTAATAGAAGAATTGTTACAAGAAGATGGTGGTCAGCAGCACAGATGTGCTGCAGCAGCATCGCAGGTAGTGATAAAATGCCAGCTGAGCGAAGCTGATTAACATTTAATCTACTGTGGAGAGAGCATCTGATGGATCATTCTTTAAGTTTTACCTTCCTAACTCAGAATATTAATGTGATACTTTGCTTTAGTCTTGTCTCTGTGTTAATAATGTATCACCAAAGATTGTTGCCGCTGTAAGGACTATAAAAAGGTTGTTGTAAACCGCAGCTAGGAGACCTGGTGACAATATCCCCAGAACAAATGTCCTCTCTGCATCACCTGTGACAGCCTGTCTCAGCCTGCAGCCATGTAGGGCCTCTGGCTCACAAATAGATCTGAACTTTTCTAATCCTTCATCCAGAGGGATAGCTCCAGAAACAACTGCACTGAGGAGCAGCGACAATTTCAAGGAGGTGAAGCTCTTCAAGGCTAACACTAAAATAGACACGCTAATAAATGTTTCTGAGTAGAGAGACGTAATGGTATTGTAATAGTTTCAAGCTGCAGTCCTCTGGGGACAATGAAATGTCTGCAGTTGTTCAGTTCAGTGACTGCTGTCTATAAAAAGACTTCCACCTGATCCTGTCAAATACACTGCAAAGATGCAAAAACCGTACGGTGTTCTTCAACAGTTACAGTGAACTCTCTTATTACCAGGTTTATGGCTGAAAACTGGAACTTATTGTGAATGCAGGTTTCCACCTTACAAGCCTTTTGACAAACATAAACAGAACATAAATAATATCAAGTACGATCCCATGAAGACTTTCAGGCCAAACAGGATGGCTGCCAACTAGAGGACATTTGTGGTCATGTGATCAGTCCATTTGTCTTGTACTTTTGATGGACGGTACAGTCGTGCTTTTCTTCACAAGAGGAAAGTTTTGTGAGACTTTTGTTGTGCATTCAAATCAAAAATGCATCCAAGAAAAAAAAATACTGTATGTCTGTGCAGTTTCTGTCCTGTAGTCCCAGTAAATGGCCACTCATCCTGACTCGATTCTGCTGGAGGGTTCTGTTCAAAGGAAGTTATTTTTTTTTGGGGGGGGGGTCTTCCACTGTCTCACTGAATCAAAGGAGAACTGGAATCAATTTGTTGATTTTCTTAGTCACGATTCAGGGTTTTCTGTGGTATTTTGATAGTGTCGTTCATTTCTCATGTTTGCATTTGTTAGTTTCTTGTGCTTTGTGCCACAAGTGGCAGCTGAATGTTTGGGACTTGGTGCTCTGACCCTGGCTTACAAAGCTGGCTCTTGGGATATGGAAGATCACCTCTCTGGAGGGAGCCTGAACTTGTGTGTGAAGTTAAGAGGTATTGACCAGATCTCATTGGGCTCACCTCAACACACAGTGTGACTTTCTGGAACCAATCTCCTTGAGAAGGACTAGACTTTATTCCACTCTGGGGTTGCCAGTGGTGAGGTGCCATGATGGAAGCCTGTGCTTTGGAGGTTCCCCCAGTAGACTGTAGATGATAGGGCAGCTTCCCTGTGCCTTCAGGTGGGGGCTGGACTCTGACTCTTGTTTGTGTCTACGTGCTGAACAACAGTTCAGAGTATCTGTCCTTCTTGGAGTCCTTAGAGGGGGTGATGGAAGGTGCTCCAGCTCGGGACTCAGTGACTTCAATGTCCATGTAGGAAGCAACAGAGTAACAACCTGGAGGGTGTGACTGGGGGGAATGGACCCTCGTGACGTTCTGTTGGACTTCTGTTCTTGTCACGGTTTGTCCGTGACCAACACCATGTTTGAACATGATTGCACACACAATTTTCACACTCTTTGCTATTTTTCCATCTTAATACTGTGTGCTCATACAATGCATTTCTGCCAAGGAGGACGCCAAACTGTGTTTTACAGTTTGTAACTATGCTTTTTGCACTGAGAAAAAAAGATTTGTTCTATTTTATTTATAAGTGCACATGGCACCAGGACAACGTAGGTCACATAGATGGACTTTGTAGTCAAGACAGTCGATCTGTGTCAACTGGTCAACACCTGGTGGTGTGTCGGATCAGGTGATGAGGGAAGATGCTGAACAAACCCAGTGAGACAAACGTAGTAAATGTTTGCTGGGAATGCCTGGTGGAAGAACCTTTCAGAAGGATCAACTCCCACCTCCTACTGAATGTCAACCAGATCCCAGCAGAAGTGGGGTGAATTGAGTCTGAGTGGGCCATGTTCTGCATCTTCACTGTTGAGGGGACTGCCTTGAGCTGTGGCTGCAAAGTTGTTGGGGCCTCTCTTGGTAGCCATCCTCTAACCCGACCCGGGTGAGAGAGGCTGAAGCTGAAGGAGTCCTATCAGACCTTGTTAGTGGTTTGTTCTTCTTCATTCTCCTCATTGTAGTTTTCACTCCTCCATGTTCTGCTCTGGTGTTTTGTATCTTGTGTTGCCCTGTTTTAGTTTGTGCTCCCACAGATCCTGCCCAACTCCAGCTAGAACTTTAAGGTTTTCAGGTGGATGATAAAAACTGTATCTCTGAACAAAAGCAGCTTGTGAACCGTGCATCTTTTGATTGACACCCACTAATCAGAGTATGGGCCTGTGGTTCATGGGGTTCACTGACACATTGCAGGCTCTAATCAAATGCCAGTCATGTTGGATACTTTTGAGGAGTGACTGGGGAAGGAGCTATCAAGAGGCTAAAGCTAGCGAGAAAACGAGCGCCAAGAAGATGAAAACAATAGTTTAAATACAAAAAAAGGGGAACAACATTCAACAAACATCCTTATGTGGACCATAAGGTGTGCAACTTCCATCATTTTTACTTCTTGCATGTATTCAGTTGAAACATAAGAGAATGAAAAATAGAGATTGAGATTATATTTGCCCTGTTTAAATATTTCAGATTAGTATTAATGGGCTCTGCTTTGATTCTTAAGAGCATTTCAAGTTCTCACTTGTTTAAAGGGACTTCAGATGCATTTAACAAGCAGTAAACATACAGATGGTGTGAAGCTGTCTGCTCATCTACTGAGAAGTAAGAAGTGATGCTCTACTTTCCAAAGAACTGAACAGTAGCTGCAGCCAGTCCATCTCTTAAAGAGAAATATGTTGAAAAACTGCCAGGAACTACAACAGAAGCTGAACTCTCAAAGAGAAACATCACCTTCTTCCAACATCCAGACAGGATAAGTCGCAGCAGTGTTTAGTCACACGCTCAAAATAAAATAAAAATAACGATCTACCTCCTTAAAGCTCAAGAGAGGGTAAAAACTTGTATTTGTCTCTGACTGAAAGGTTAACGAGGTTAAATAAGGTTCTGAGATGTGCTTAGGTAAAATAAATCTCTAAGAGTTTTACGTGGCTTCTGATGAGATTGTACAAAATGTGCAGAGTTTACGTCTGGAAGTTGTTTTTAATGATGATGATGATGATGATGATGATGCACTCAGTCAGGTTGTTAAAGATTTAAATTAAATGTACAACACTCAGTGACAGCAAAAGGGAAATTAGTTTTTATAAATGCATCATTTCTGAGAAGTGGACAGGGATTTTGTAGCTAAATTAACACTGAACCTCGTGACATAAAACTACCATAATTAATAATAATCAAACGTACTTTTTATTTATCTGGAATAATAGAAACAGAATAAATGACTGGCAAAGTGGAAAATAATATTTTTGTTTCCTTTAAAGCCCACTTAGTTTATAAGTTTATGTAGAAAGTTTGACTTCAGAAACCACCTCTTACTTATATACATGGATCACTAGTGATAATCGAGTGTGACTCATCTGGTGAGTTAGGTGCTGAACTGTCTGAACCATGGTGGGATACGACGATTCTCAGCACACGATCAAGTACACCATGTGCTAGATTACAGTTTATACAGATTAAAGTAATAAACAGAGTCCACTTCTCAAAATCCTGTTGATTTAAAAACGTTCCTTCAATTTTAGACCAGTGTGACAGATGTCAGACGTCACCTTGCAACTTCAGTCATATTTTTTTCTTCTGTCCAAGTTTGCATAAATTCTGGAGTGTCTTTTTTTCTTGTACTTTCAGATGCTTTTGCTTTTTTAGTGTGTGACTAATTACCGTTTTTGGAGTTGCAATGACCACGCTTAACCTACCTCCCCTGCAAAATGAGATCTTAGCTTTGGAAATCTCCCACACCTCCATCTACGCATGGCTTAACACTGTCAGGACGTTTTCGAGGTGGAGAAGATTTTACTAACAGTGAATTTACTTGCGAGTGGACACCCTTACCTCAAATCTGTACCTTCTTAATGTGTACAATTGTGTAATTAACCCATCATGTTATGAAGTTATAACAATTGTAAACTATTTATTTTAGATCCTCCCTCCTCCACACACGGCTTTTTAATTTTTTTTTATTTACTTTACTTTTTTCCTCTGTTCTTGTATTTGTAGTGTTTTGATGAATAAATACAATTAAAGAAAATAAAGTTTGACCTGTTCAAGCAGCAACACATAAGAATGGTTGAACATATAGACCTCGCTGTCAGGAGATGGTTTGGTCTGTAAAGGTTTTAAGAAAAAAAGTCCCCCACTTTGTTTGATCTAAACTGCAATAATGTGTGGTTTTTTATCATTTATGTCCTTTATTGTAGCTTCAAATGATTGTTAATCCAGCATGATGTTCGTGTAGTTAAATTTAATCCCCATGTTGAACATGGATGAGAAAGCAGATAAACATGAGAGGGGTTCTGAAAGGTTTGTCCTGGCAGGACGTCCCGTGGGAGAGATGACTTCTCCCCCAACCAGAACCGTGTCTGAACGCAGCTTTGTCCAAAAAATATTTTTTTATTCACCGTTTATTTTAACACATTGTGAGAAAACATTCCCAAATAAATCCAGCTGTGGAATAACGATGCTCCAAAGGTTTCTGCAGATCCACAAGTATTCTGTCTCCTGACGAGACTTTGACTTTTCAAAGCCTCTTGGTGTCAGACACGAGAGACCTCAGAGTTTAGCTTCACAGTTGATGTCATTTTCAAGGTTATAGTGGAATCGTTACTAGTTGTTGATCCTTCCTTACAGCTCCTAAAGGCCTCGTTATGATGTCCAAGCCCAGGCAATTAAACCGGTCAGGCCTAAAGACTTTTGGGTTCATTTTTGTCTAAAACATTTTGATTAAAAACTGATCCTTTTGGTAATAATTTATTTTTTATTTCAGCACATTTAATGAGAGGGATCTCGTCTTTATCATGTCAAACTGAGCTCCCATCAACCCACCTGTTTGCATTTGTCCTCCGCTCCTTTCTTGTCCACCTCGGCCTGCTCTGCACGGTCTATGGCATTCTCCTTATCCAGCTTCAGCATCTGCATTTTCTTCTTGATGGCCTCCATGTTTGCGTGTGTTGGCTCTCAGCAGAGAAGAGAAGGGACGAGCACTTTGTTATCCTGACGGAGCCTCGGGCAGGTGGACAGGAGCGAGCTGTGGGGCTTGACTGAAAGGAGAAAAGAGATCTCACAGATAGGAACAGCCCAGCAGCTGCTGGAGCTCCAGCCTAAAACTTGTTGCCCATATTTAGGCAGCGAGAGCCGTTCAGTGTGTGTGTGTGTGTGTGTGTGAGGATAAATCAGAACTGAGCACACTCCCTTATGCGTGTCATCATTCTGCACGAGACAGAAAACAGCAGCTCAAATCCAAATATTTATAAGGAAAAATCATCAGGATTAATGAAGTTATTTCCACCTTCCTCACAAACAGCAAGTGGGGTTATAATCAGGAAAAAAATTTCTGCTGCCCTTCTACAAATCTGTAAAAAAAATATAATAATAATAATAATAAAAACCTCTGACCATGCTGAAATAAAATGTGTTGAGTTCCAACTTTCCAGCAAAGTTGCAAACTCTTTAACAACCTTAAAACGAAAACAAACAATTATGGAAAGAATAAAAACGCATGTGTGGCAGGTTTGAAAATACATTTTTGTAAGAAAAATAATCAGAGAAACATTCTGATTTTTCTGTTTATGTGTTGGATCTTCAGTAAAATTCACAGCTGTGTACTTTAAATCAGACTTTGAGAAAACCCACAAGGAGATGATGAGTGGAAACAGTGCTGTAAAAATCCTTCACAAAGCCAGAACTATTCATCGTTATTTGAAGTAACCAAGAACGACCGCAGGTTTCTTTTTAGAACCCTGGCCAGGCCGACACAGAACAGTGACTTCATCACAAAGTTGATTTAATCAGTAAACAAAATGGCAGAATTTACACATTGAATAAAATCTCAGCTTCAACAAACAATTCAGTCCAGTTGACCTGTGAGTTATCAGAAACAGTTGTTTAATTCAATGTGTCTTCTAGTTTTTCCATCACAACCAAACTGCTCAGAGGTTTTCCCTTCAATTGGTACCTCCATTTTAGATCTGATCCAGCTCTCTTTAGCCACAACGAGCTTGTAAACTTTATTTTTAAAAATTAAATTTAAATGGGTTTGAATTTGGGTCCATAATTTTACATTTCATTTAATTTTTAAAAAGTCTAGAAAAAGTGTAGCAAGTTATGATAGCAAAATAATCTGAGGAGTTTCAGTCAGAGTATAGAAAAGGTACTGATGAAAATGACTAAGGATCTTCTTGGGAGCTCAGACAGTGGACTGTAGTTGTTCTGTTAGAGCTCAGCGCTGATACAAATGATCACATCATTTTACGGAGGGTTCAACTTGTTATAAGGGTCAAGGGAAAGCATCAAGGTGGATTAAGTCAATTTTGTTTGATAAAATTCCCATTTGCTCATGTAAAAAATGAATCTTCCACACCAGAGTCAGTCATGGAGTTCTGCAGGGTTCAGTGTTACAAACTCTTAATTTAGCACCAAACACTGCTCTGTAATTTACTGGTAATCAGTGAAGACTCCAGAAACATGAAGGAGTTGTGGTCAGATGCCAGAGAAAGGGTAAGTTTCTGGCCATCAAGGACAACACCATATCTGAGAACACCATCCCCACAGTGAAGCATGTTAGTAGCAGCATCATAATGTGAGGATGTTATTCATCAACAGGGTTTGGGAAACTTGTCAGTTAAGAAGAAAAATGCACAGAGCAAAATAAAGTGACGTTATTGAGGAAAACCTGAATCTTCCAGAGATTTGAAAGGCGGTTGGAGGTTTCCTGCAGGACAACCACGGACGCAACGCTCCCTGGACCGTCTTCGCTCAGTTTCCCATTTTTTTACATTCATAAATGACGTCATCTCATCTGTAATTTTCCTCATCAGTTTCTTTAGTATAGACAGAATATGGACACTACACATGTTGGGGAATATTGGTCATAGTTGGATTAACATCAAAATTCATGCTCAATAATCCAGGTACAAATCCAACAATGTTCAGTCAGGTCATTTGGGTGTTTTTTTTTTTTTTTTTTTGTTGAGACGTTTCATCCTTCATCCAAAGGACTTCTTCAGTCCGAGGAGCCACAAACAGACTGGAGTCCCACAAATATCACACTCCCATAATGGGAAAAAAAAAAAGTTTGCTGGTGATAAACTGGTTTCTGGGGCCCACCCTCTCCCCAGTCAACTCCTCGGGGGCAATCATGCCAAAATGAGCCACTATGCTAAGTTTTTTTTCCACTATGGGCATATTTGTGGGACTCGTTTGTTTGTGGCTCCTTAGACTTCACACACACACACACACACAAAATTAACTCAATTTTGAAAGGAAAAAAGTCTTTATACCGTTTCTAAAAAAACAAATGTCTTGGACCAAAATAATTTGAAACGTTTCCTTGCCAAGTAAGGTTTGTGCTAAATAACTTAAAAGAAGAGAGCTGTTTTTTTTTAAACCCAAGTAACTTTTTTTTATCTTAAAGAGCAGCTTACAGATATGTGCAGTATAGATCAGTAGTTTCTGAAAGCCAACAGCTCGGGGGCGGACACCCAGCCATTAAAATCATTATGTAAATAAACCAAGTATTACAATGATATGTTACCTTTTAAATTTGTTTATTTTATTGCATTGAATCATAAATGCAATAAACAGAACCCAAACCCAGAACAAAAAAAACAAACAAACAAACAAAACAAAACAAAAAAAAAAAAAAATATATAAATATGTGGCGATCTGGAAATGTCCCGCGGGCAGTCAGTTGAGTATCCCTGTAATAGATGCTTGTCATCTTTGGGGAAAGCGTGAGGGGGAACAAATACTGAAAATGTATACCAGCATGTGTTGGGGATCACTTCAGATACACCAGACCAAATTTGAACTTAATAACCATAAAAATGACTGATTTATAACTATTTTTGTCTTTGATAATGTTGATTAGCTGTGGCAGCCATCTTGAATCGTGTTTAATCCAAATATTTATCAATTCTAGATGTTCATCGAATAATTACTTTGTTACAATAAACTCTGCTGCTTCATGAAGTAGGTGGCTCACACACACACGCACGCACGCACGCACACACACACTCAAGTACACAAACTCTATATTCTTGACAACCACCAAAAAAGACAAAACAAAAACAAACAAACAAAAAACTCCAACATTTTCAGTGAAAATTTGCTTTATTGTATATAAATCTCTAGGACAGTGCCCGGCAGGTGATACTACTGTGCACCAACATTATAATTCTACCACAATAAAAGTCAAAATGTGATCAAAATGAAAAAACTTTCAATTATTACAGTCTTAATCTGCGTACTGCTCTGTCAGATCTAAAAAGTATGTGACTGAAAATAAAGCTATTTGTGCTGATGCGTAGCAGGGTGATGAAGTTATTGCACTTCTAGGGCAAATGGAATCAATAATACTTGAAAAAAATAAAAAAACGCATGATCTAAGCACAAATACAAAGTTTTGTCAATAAGGCACTAACAGTAGGCCCATTAAAAAAATAACTTTGTAAAATCTGCTACAAATGGCACCAGATATGTTTGGATGTGTATATTTACTGGAGTGTTGTCGTACAGTCATGCTGATATAAAATGTTGCAGCATTAAATATATGGCTTTATGAACACAATCAGACCTAAATACTAAAAATAAGAGAAAGACATTTGTTTCATATAGTTCAGAGCTCATTCTTTCACAAAATACTTATATGTTCAAAATCTTTTAACTGTTTTTTCGGATGTAAAAATGTTTTTTTCTGCTTTTACTTTTTCATTAAAATAAACTAAATGGCATTAAAGATATGAGACATCTGCTAACACTTCAAAGCTCTTTGGAAATGTATTCAGACAAAAAAAACAACAACATTTGCATAGATTATGAATATTTTGGCATTAAAACATAAATTGTACTATTAGATTTCATCTTTATAACTATAGGATGTAACAGATTAACTTACTGGTATGACTTTGTCACTTTACAACGCCACACAGCTTGACAGCACAAAAAGACATTTATGAACACATTTTAACAAAAGCGCAGATAACTTAATTAGCAGTTGAATGCAGAAGATTCAGTATTAGCAAAATGTAGATCATCTGGCATTATTCAACAAAAATGTAAAACCATACAAGATTCAAAAGACGCCTCCTGATATGTTCATGTTAAGGTGGAATGAGTCTGCCCAAAAGTTGCATCTGTGCTCACGTATTAGCAGATGGGAGGTCCTGAGCAATCCACTGATTAGGTTACTGATGATGCTGATTGTCAGCGCAACACTCCTCCCCACACACACACACACACACTCACACACACACTTTCACTGCTCCTGGCCGTCCTCTCGCAGCTCCGAGGGGAGGAACTTGTACTGCTGCTGTCTGATCATGGCCAGCTTCTTCCTGGCCTCTTCCAGCTCCTTTTCTTTCCGCAGCATCTCCTCCTGCGCCGCAATGATCTGGAACATCACCGCAGTCTGTTAGTGGACCAGCTTACAGCCCGCACATGTTAAACACACGCACAGAATCTCTGCCGACTTGAATTTTTGTCGGCAGATGATTTAATAGTGATAAGATTTCTTGAAAATACGCGCAGGCGTTTTCTGAATATTTGCCAACGGGATCACGGTTTGATCACGGTGGAGTAGACGTTTCACTTCTTTCTTCGTATATTTGCCCGTGTGTTTGCGTATGTGATTGTTCTGTGCTTAGGACACGTGACTCACCTGAGCAATGCCTCCCACCATCTTACTCTTCACCACCACAGCCTGGTCGTCCTGAGCGTCGAACGCCGCTTTCTGTGCTGCTTTCACCAGATTATCAGAGGCTCGCTTCACCGCATTTCCAGCAGCCTACAGAAACACACAGTAGGTAAGGACAATCACTTTGGAGAAACAAAGAATGGACATGAAACTGGAACTCAAAGCCAACTTAAAGGAGCTTTTTAGAAGCTGCAGAAGAACAAATCCAAGAGAAGGTCATTTTGTACCATAACTTGCACTTTGAGAAAACACACACTGACGTGTGGCAGTTCTACTCCTGGAAAGGGAATGTTAAGTTCCATTTATGCTCGGAGAGACACCATCAGATTTTTTTTGTTGCCACTCCGTGCTTGAGAAGAGCTGTAAAAGGCAAAGCTGAGAGCTAAACACTTCTCTCATTGGCAGCTCAACTCTAACACGAAAAGTTTTCCTTTTGTGGCTGTGTGGGCTGAAATCTTCCTCTCTTGGTTTATCTTTAGCTGGAATGTCGCAGTCAGTTTGGCCCCGTCATCCAACATAAACTGGGCCACTGCTTTCGTAGCTGTGTAATCTGGTCATACAACAAACCGACAGTGCAACACACCTCATTTGATTAAACTCTGCTGAGTGATTCATGAGCTAACAGACAGAGTGAACTGAGTTTACACCAAAGTTATAAACAAAGATCACTTGTAGTCTTGTCAAACTCAGAGTATGATTTGAGGGTGACCCTCGCCAAATGTTAGGTAAATTTGTAAATACATTAGTGGCGGAGAATAAACACTGTTGTTGTGGAAAAATGCATGGGATGTTAAACGAGTATTGCATACAGCACATTATACTGCATGCCCTTTGACAAACTATTATACAGCAATCTATAGAAATACTTCTTTAAAAAGTCTTCATTTGAATCAGAATCAGAATAATCTTTATTGGCATTGCACCGAGGTACAACGCGAATATGTACGTACAGTAGTCCGAAAGATGGGCGGAGTGCACGAAGCTGCAACTACAGGAGAGCGCGGCCATTTTATCCTTATCAGATAATAATCTTAGATAGGAAAAGGTGGAGAAACATGAGGGTAGATAGTGGTATTACAAAAAAGATCTTTCACATCTTGTCTATCAGGACACGATTTGAGACATCAAAAAACTCTACCAGCAAGCACAATTAAAACATGAATACATTTGCATTTGACATCGAGGTGTTGAGATTTGATCCAAAATGCTGCTGCCAGAGTCTTAACTGGAGTTAGTGGGAGAGATCATCTCTCTCCAGTTTTAGCTTCTATTCACTGGCTCCCTGTCAAATTCAGAATTGAATTCAAAATTACTTCTAACCTACAAAGCTCTCAACAACCTAGCTCCATCTTATATTACAGATTTTATTGTTCCATATTTTCCTAACAGAGCACTTCACTCTCAAACTACATGTTTACTCACGGTCCCTACAAAAACAGAATGGGAGGAAGATCTTTCAGTTCTCAGGCTCCTCTCTTGTGGAACCAACTTCCAGTTTCTGTCCGTGAGGCTGACACATTGTCCAGTTTTAAGACTGGGCTTAATACTTTCCTTTTTGATAAATACTATAATTAGGGTTGGCTTGTTATGTTACCTTAAGATTAGACTACTAGAGGAAAAAGTATGTAATTTCCTTAAATGAATTGTTAAAATTGAATAGTTGTCATTTGATTCTATTTCTATCTAAACATGTGATTCTTGACCTGCCATTGTATATCTGCTCCTACCAAACCCAGGCAGTCGAAGTAGATGGTCGCTTGTCCTGAGTCTGGTTCTGCCAAAGGTTTCTTCCTCATGAGGGAGTTTTTCCTTTTCACGTCGCCTTCATGCTCGCTCAAGGTGAGAGTTCTGTGATGGAGTTAAATTCAAAGCAGTCTGCTCCTCAGGTAAATAGTACTAAATTATTATTTTTAAATATGTATGTTTGTGATAACTTATTTTATATATGAATGTTTCTGTTCAGTGCCCTGAGACGACTTCTGTTGTGACTTGGTGAAATATAAATAAACTGAATTGAATTGAATGGCCCGGAAGAGCAAAGTCCTTGTATAACCTCGATTTGTGACCTTGACCTTAGAGCTGGGGTGATGAAATGAGTATGTGACACTCCATTAGCAATGGTGTATAAGTATATTAAGTTTAGTTAAATTACCTTGAGCAGGTCAGAAGTTAAGGGTGGGACAAAAGAAAGTTTATGGACCTCTGTATGGACGGATAGATGAATGAAAGAACGGAGACTGTACCATCATACGTTCCCTTTACGACAGGTATGTAATAAGAACTTCTGAGAGTCAAGAAACGTTTGGTCACATTTTAGCTGCAGACAAACTGCTAGATATGGTAGATGGGGACTGAAAATATACCGGATGATCTAACCTCCCACCACATATCCTTGATATTTTGCCCAGCTCACATCTTGCTTGTCATCAGTCTGGCTCATCGCAGACAAGAACAGAGCATTGGTCTTGAGTCTTTTTAAGGTCTTAAGCAGCCACTTGTAAGCTTTCTTTATGAAAGTTAGAGGGGAGTGGTGGCACAGAGGCTAGAGAAGGTGGGCATGTGATCGGAAGATCGCCGGTTCACGCCCCGGTACCAACATCATCAAAAAATGTGGGTGGGGTAGGTGAAGCACCCACACTTGCCCCCACCCTCATTTGCCCCACTCTGGGCCCATGAGCAAGGTCCTTAACCCCCATCTGCTCCCTAAACAGGTCTCTCTTGAAAATGAGTTCTTGTGGCTCAATGAGACTACCTGTATAAATGAAGGGTAAATGAAAAAAAAAGTTGAGATGAGTAATAACCATTCCCAGGAACATAAAGTCCACTTGCCCTCCTTCAGCTCCTCTAATAAGGCAGATCATCTCCATAAATACCAGCAATCTGATGCAGGCTTTTCTTAAAAGTTAATTCAAGTCAAATAAAGTGCTATGTGCTGTCATCATTGTATGTTCCCATACAATAACGAAATTAGTTCTCTGCATTTAACCCATCACACCTGGGATACACCCAGGTGGAGCATTAAGGAAGTTATTTTTGTAGTTCAGTGTACATACTGAACAGAGAGACTGAACACACAAACATAGGTGAATGGTTGTCAGCACACTGCTTATTTTTCAAGTTCTCCAGCTCACAAGGTTTACATACACACATACATACACTGATGACAACAGCCATCTTGGATTGACGTGGCTGAATGCTGAGCTCAACACCCATCATTTAATTATTTGATTTATTAACAACACAAGTGAGTGCTGGTATCTGATGGACTGTAACCAGGTGGAAACATCCCCCTGTGATACAGATAGAACAGACAGAATAGTGATCCGTTCATTAGACCTCTGAAGTTCTACTCTAATATCTCACTCCAAACAGGCAGAGCCTTTAGATCCTGATGTTGTGAGGTGGGTCCTTCATAGATCATATTCATCTACATTATTAATGGCACAGAGTAAAACAGATGACTGCTCTTTCTGAATATGGCTCTGTTGGAAGTCTCATCATGTTGAAAGAAAGTTTTTCCACTATTCAGCTCCTGGCCACTGCAGGCAAAGGGAAAGGAAAATACATTCAAAAGAAGACTTTATGTATCTATTGGCCTCCTCTGGCAATGTCGAACATGTAAGAAGAATTCAGATTCAGAAGAAGCAGTGCAGCTTTTGTTCTGGTCGTGGAACAGTGGATCTGATCTTTACCCCTGCAGATTTTTTCTAGGTTACATGGGTTTTGTGGATTTGGAAAAGGCTTATGACCATGTTCCTTGAATCATTTTGTGGGGGGTACAGTAGGAGTTGGGTATTGAGATTGCATGTAAGGGCTATCCAGTATCTGTATAACCAAAGCAAGAGCAGTGTCCGCATCCTTGGCACAAAGTTAAGCTTCTTCCTAGTGTGGATTATACTCTGCCAATATTTTTTGTGGTGTTCATTGAAAGGATTTCCAGGTGAAGTTATGAAGAGGAAGGTATCAGGTTTGAGAACGTCAGGGTCTCATTTTTGCTTGTGATGATGTGGTCTTGTTGGTGCCTTCAGGCAACGGCTTAGTGTGCTGGGATAGTTTATAGCAGAGTGTGAAGCTGCTGGGATGAGAGTCCACTGTTCCAAGTCTGTGGCCATGGGTCTCAACTGGGAACAGGTGGAATACACCTTCTAAGCAAGAGTTGAGTCCATACGTCAAGCTGAGCATTTCATGTATCTGGGAGTCTTGTTCAAGAGTGATGGTAGGATGGAGGGGGAGAAAAATAAATAGATCAGGTCTTCATTTGCAGTAGAATGTTTGTTCTGTTCTGGTGGTAAAGCTCTTTAGAGAGCAGTGCCAAAAGACAAAGCTCTCAATTTACTAGTCTGTCTACATCCCAAACCTCACTTTTGATCATGAGGTACAGATCAAAACTTAAAGAACAAGATCCTAGATATAAGCAGATAAAATGAACTTCCTTCATAGGGAGGCCGGGCGTAGTCTTAGAAATTGAGTGGGGAGCTCCCCCATCCAGGAAGAAGCTCAAGTACCACTTGTCCCCCCGCATTAAAATTTTTTAGCAGAGGTGGCTGAGGCATCTGATTAGGATGCCTCATGGGCATTCCCTCAGGAGGTTTTCCATCCCACTGGGAGGAGACACCAGGGCAGACCAGAATTTACCAGAAGGATTACGTATTCTCTCTGGCTTGGGAATACTTTGGGATCCCCCAGGAGGAGTTGGGGAAGAGGAATGCCTGGGTTTTCCTCCTAGTCCTGTTACCCCTGCGACCAGATCACAATTAAGCAGCAGGTGGCTTAGCTTGCATGCTAAACAGGGTGATTCAAAACCAAACAACTTCTGTGCCAGTTTTTTTTAACCGTACATCATAATTACACGTTACAAAAGTGCTAACATTTGGATAATTGTTTGAATTTATGGGAACACTGCAGATCTGAAGTTGGATAATCCTGAAGTGAGTGCAGATTAACCCAGCTTTGTCCCAGAACCATTGGCAGCTACTTATATAATAAACATTTGAGTAAAACAGCCTGAATGGAGAGAGAGAAAAAGCTCTCGGTGTAAACATAGAGCCATACTAATGTGTCCAGTTTCTGGTGCCATGGCTGGACCGAGT